GTGGATTACCTGACAAGACGACCACAGTACGTCAGGCTGGGTAACTGTTTCTCAGGGACAGTGATGAGCAGCACTGGGGCTCCACGGGGGACTGTTCTGGCTCCGTTCCTGTTCACCCTGTATACAGCAGACTTTAAATACAACTCTTAGTCCTGCCACATCCAGAAATACTCGGATGACACAGCTATTGTAGCGTGTATCAGGAACGGGCAGGAATCTGACAAGGCCTTCAGTGAATGGAGCGACAACTGCCTCCTTCTGTTCAGTATAACGCTACAGCTAGTGGGAAGCTAGCTTACAATAGCATAAAGACAGGCAACAGGATGATATAACTAGCCCTGCTCTATTCCAAACTCACCTAGCACCTCTAATCCTCACTAACGTATATCTAATTTGTTTTTGAAAACAACACATTATGGTTTTAAGATAAGCTAACCAGCTGGTAGCTGTAGCTTCATTCTTAAATAGACATGAGAGTGGTATCAATCTTCTTATCTCACTCTTATCAAGGTTACTAGCAAGCATCTTTCCTAAAATAACAATTCCTTTAAACATTAGCAACCAAACCATGAACTTGAGTTTCACCCGTTTCTTCCACTACTAGTGGAGAACAGATATTTGAATAGTAAATGGAAAGAAAGCAGGTCAATGAGTACCTTTTACGACATGGTAATGTGAATGGAGCCAGTGGCACTGAGCAGTGAGTTCTACTTGGCCATAAGGGGATATTACCTAACAATGTTTAACCTCAAAGTGTTTCCCTGTGCGTAGACATCCATTCGACCATCCATCCAACCACTTATCCTTATAGGATCGTGGGGGGTTGGAGCCAATCCCAGCTGACATTGGGCAAGGGCAGGGTACACCCCTGGACAGGTCGCCAGTCTATCACAGGGCTGACATATAGAGACACACAACCACTCACACCCACATTCACACTTATGGGCACTTTAGACTTGCCAATTAACCTAATTCACATGTTTTTTGACTGTGGGAGGAAGCTGGAGTACTTGGAGAGAACCCATGCAGGCACAGGAAGAACATGCAAACTCAAACCTTCTCACTGTGAGGCGACAGTGCTAACCACGACATCACTGTGCCGCCCCCATTCGACCATGTAATACTAAAATGCTGCACTAAAACCAATTCACATTGAATTTATTGAGGTGGGACATTGGCTGTCGGTTAAGAGCCTGCCTATAACAGCAGGGAAAACACTACTCATTACTGCACTGTAGCTCTCTAACTATACTAAACTGTATGAGTCTTGGCCTGGTATTAACTCTTCACTACACTACTTGTCATTAAACACCTTAAACACTTTCACCAGCCTCCCTGTTTGGAGGAAGTTTATAAATTATATCTACAATGTCATTGTGAAAATACAAGAATCAAATGGTTGTCAGTCATTACAGCCTGGGTGATCCATGTAGGAAATGTGTATCTGTATGTGTGATATTTGACATTAAGAAGTAATTTCAATCCCTGCAGGCCACAATCTCTCAAACCAGTCCACTGTAAGTCTATAGTTTGCTCTGATAATTTCTGAAATCTCCGAACCAAGTTTTTAGAGCAAAGAAAGAAGAAAAAATTGCAGTAGAAATGACATGAACTCGCTTAGAGGTTTTGGTGGTGACAGAAAACTTGGGTTCCATGTGCCCAATGTTTAGAAAAGCAATTGGCTTCTTCTGGGTCGTCAACCCAGATGAATACATGAACATCACAGTTATCTCTGACGTTTCCCCTCCCACCATCCACTACTTCTGAAGTTTATCTTTCTTCCTGTCTTTCATCACAGCGGTTATTAAACCCTGCGAGTGAGCTCCACTATGTCTAATTACTTCAACAGTAAACAAAAGGAGGTTGGGTGGGGTTACGAGTGAGGAGAATGAGGAGGAGAAGAGAGACAGATGAAAAAACACAGCTGGCCGAGTGCTGTGTTATTATTATTCTTTAAGCGATACTGTTAGCGCAGTCAGTCTTTGAGCTGTGCAGCTAATGACTGGCTAGGCCTAATTACAGGCTGCCTGTGCTGTGCTGTGCTGGGATGTGGTTTTCCTTCCCTGGACGGTTGTTAACTTCCCCCACAGTCAAAGCCCAACCGGGCTCCCATTACCTCCCAAGCCTTCTTTGCCCACAAAACCCTAAATTACCTTTAAAGGTGTTGTACTGCTCTTTTGGCAAGGTATACAGCTGCATTTTGACAAAAATAGCTTTGATGATGTCCTAGAGTGTGAAGATGAGGACAAAATGGCACCAAAGTGATAAAAAAAAAGGTGCAGTAAATGTGGTAGTGGAATGCAGTGGAATGTGGATGGTAGGAAGGTAACACGTTGCTGCCTTCCAGGCCTTAGATGTCATGTTTTTTCTGAGAAAGAATCAGGGTGAAATATCAGTGAAATACTCTTCAGATTATTTTAATTGTTGTGGCCTGAAGTGATGTACTGTAGCTCCATGCTAAACAGAAACTGGGGGATTTTGTCCACAGTTTGTTTCACCCCATGAATGCTCCACAAGACAGATGCTCTCCCCATCCATCCTGTCCACCTCCCTGTCTCTGGAGTAAGTGATGCAGTATTGATACCATATGCCCTCCTGAATTCCTCATGGATCCTCCTATCTCATCCAATCCCAACAGTCCACTGCTGGCTGTGGACACTTGGCTGTTGCAAGGGGGGGGCCTCCCCACTTCCTGTGTAGGATCTAAATATTTACACTCTCCAGCGTCCCGAGTGGCGAGGTGGAAAGGTCTTCATGTTTTGGGTTATATAAAGGCCAGTCCTCCAGGATACATATTTAACAGATTGCCCTCATTAAAACAGATTTTTTAATTCAGATTCACAGTTTTCTCATCTTTCTGAAACACATTAGGACACAAAAGCTGACTACAGTCAACCTACCTTGTGAATTTGCTTGTAAAAGCAGTTGAATAGCAGACTCCAATGTAGCGTTAAACTATTTTCTAAGCTATTAATTATGAATTTATTTACATTTGGCATAAATATTGCCTCATATACTGGAAGAGAGCTGAGATGACCTCCGTTACAGGAATGCTAACCCACATTCTGAGCACATTGTATGCACTGTGCACGTTAGCCCTCTGATTCACAAGTGTACCCCAGTATCACTAAATCTTAAAAACAAAACATCTTCATTTAACTTAATGTAACAAATTATATGTCTTTGTTCTCTGTCATGTCAGCGAAAAGCTTTTATCTAACACCATTACTGAGAAAAATCCCTGCAGGAATTCAATTTACAATCTCTTGTGTTAACAAGACCACAGTGTAATCTACTGAGAAAGACATTGAAAATGTTCTGAACAATCAGAAAATAGAGTCAACAAATCTCAGCAAAGGATTTTCAGAGAGTAGCAATAAAGACAAAACCAACTCATCCTACAAATATGTCTGTGTGCCATACAGATGGTAGAGCCATTATACACAGTAGCAGAAGAAGCAAAGTAAATAATTTCTCAGGTAGCCAGCCAAGCTGGGCCATTTGTGGCTGTTTGTCAGTGTACTAAGATGTGCTTAGGTATCAGAGGACAAAAAGAGAGACACCTACGACCCAGATTTCGCTAAGTTTTTGGGGGTGTAGACTTTAGCCTCTTGGTCTCACCAACAGCTTCAGTTAGCAGCAATGTGGCTAATGTTGAGCGAGTCTCATCCTACTTGAAATGACTCTAGCACTTAATTTTTCACAAGTCTGACATAAATCTAGAAAACAGGTGTGCCGAACTAAAGCTGCTCCTGGGCCAAACAATTTTGGCTGCCTGAGGGTTAACAGATCACAACACACACAACCTTATGGGGTGTTTAAAAACAGCAATACTATGAAGACTATAGTATGATGTAAACTTTTCTGAACTCACATTGACCTATCTTTCTATTTGTGGAATCAAGTTAACCAAGATTTTAGGCACACATTTCTGACATAAACCCATGGTAGACTTATACAAGTATTTTCTGAGCAAATCAGTTTAAGTTAATTTAAGTTATAAGCTATAGTATTTGTTATGATCCTACAAACTGATATCTGTATCTCTTCAATACCAGCACAGGAAGTAGTTTTTGTAGAGACATGGAAAGCTCACCTTTTTATAAACTACAACAGTGATTTTTCATTAAACCTAACTTAGTGTTTTATTTGCCTTACCTTAGCCACACTTTATTTGCCACAAGCACAAGCACACGCACAAGCCTTTCCCTGACCTCAACCATACAGCCGTTGCCAAACAAAGATAATATAGAAAGAATTTTTTAAATGTTAGTAGTGAACTTGAGAAAACTTTGATTATATTAATTCTTATAAATATCACCAATATTAAAATTAGAGTTGGTTGACTGTTGGGAAAATATTATTTACTGCTCCACACAGGGCAGCTTAATATTAACATGATGCTTCATCTGTCAAATTAGCAAGTGATCAAGCGGATATTAACAGCAGGCTTCCCTGTCCTGAATTGTGCAGCAGGTGAAAGGTAAACGGATTAGGGTTTGATTTAATTTGAAAAGCTTACAGAGCTCCTTTCTCAGCAATACTCTCACTTGAACACCACCAATCTGACTCATATATTCAAGCTTTCTAGTCTTTCTTTACAGTCTTTTTATCTTAAATTTGAAGCCAACCCCAATTCAACTCTCAATCTCTTCCATAAGTAAAACATTTTATATGTTGTCATGAAAAAAACTATGTTCCCTGCTCAAGATACAGGTTTTGGGATACACAACAATACACTTAATCATTTTGGACAAACAACAGTAAAAACTGATTTTAGACATCATCCCTGTGCTAAGATTTGTGTCTGATGGGGGTTGATTAGAGAGATCCAGCTGAAACCAGGTCCAATTCATAGTCTCAAAGATGACCACTTCAACCAGGCTTCAAACAAATGCTACCCATCCACTGATCTGTAGTGAGGTCAGGCTGAGGTCAGTTTTGTGTCTGATTGTGTTCATGGTTGCACTGTGTGATGAGGGTGGTTAAAGTTGACTGACCTGCTACGCCCAGCCCCATGGAGCCCTCCTGTGGTTGTGTGGATCGGTTGCGATTCTGCTGGCGACGTTTGCCACCAGTGGAGCGGGCAGTGCGGATGTATACTTCACTGATTCTGAAGAATGCGACCATAAAAGGCTGCTTCTCCAGTGCACCGTCACGTCCTACTAGGCCTGCCTCCTTGACACTGATGCTTTGTCCTGTTTGAGAGGGTACAGCACCTTAAAACTACACAAAAATGTATATATATATATATATATATACTGTATATAAAAGTGTATAGCCATTAGCAGCAATACGGAGGTTCTAACCCTTTTGCCCTCAAAAGAAGGAAGCACCTCAACGATAAACCAAAATAAACCCAAGAGCAGCAATGAGCACACCAATTTTGGTAAAATTCTGTCGGACGGATTTTCAGATACACTTTCTTGGCATTTGTGGCACCATACATATGTTATTATTTCCGTTACCGCTGCTGGTCTCCATGCTGACTTGCAGACCCAAGTTGTGCACCGGACTCAACAACCACAGGTTGCTAGTGGCGGTGATGTCAAACTCCAGCCAGCCCTCCTCAGCTGCCCACAGTCTGCGAGACTCCAACAGGAACAGGTCCGCCTCTCTGGGAGAACATGGTATACAAAATAAAATTGCTTGGATTAAAAATAATAAATTAAGTGTGTTTTTAGTGATTTAAAATTTTCTCAGAAGAACTAATCTGACTGATGAAATAATATCATTATAAATATCAAACTGAGTAGGACTTGTTAGCCAAAGAAATTTTGTGGACTAGATCTTGTAATGTAAGACAGAAATTTAATTAAAAATATGGAAAGAGAAATTAGCAAATATATCAAGCCTAGCACCATAGGGCTAACTGGAAAAGATGCACTCGAACCACTCCAAGCTAACTAATTTATCTAGTTAGCTGAGGCAACCCAGAGAGCAAAGTAATATGTCAATGCCAAATTTTAGCATTTTAGGTTAGAACATTTTCAAAAGATACATGAAGACAGAATCAATGAAACAGAGAGAGAGGTATGTTAAATAAATTACAATAATCTGTGTAAATGAAATAAGGTTGTAAAAAGGCGGAGCATTTGAAACAGGAAGGAAAAGACCCACATAACAGCAGTATAACCGCAAAGTTGCCTACTTTATGTGGATAAGTTAAGTGACCTTTAATTCCAACAAAGCCATTACAGTAGTAAAAACTGCCTCAGGTCAGTCAGACCCTCTTCCATAGCCTACATCAAAGCCAATCATCCAGGTGTTCAGAGAATGCCCCTGCAGCAGCAGCCTGTCTTTATTGGTCACTAATTAGAGTGTTTCTGATGGCTTCCATATGAGCCTCAACACCATGTATTTATACACACACACACACACACACACACACACACACACACACACAGCTCAACTGACAAAGGATGGAAGGGGTCCACAAGAGAGCTGTCAGGGCAAAGGCTACGGAGAGCTTCTTATTGACTGACTTAAATGAACTGGATTAACAAGGTCTTTTTGCAATAATAAATCTCCTGTGTAAGTCTTGTGGTTACTGTGTGTGGTAACAACTTTTTAAGTATTGAAAAGGCATATTTGTAAGATTGTTACAGTGATATGTACAGTAAGTCAGACATCTGGACAGACAGGCTCCAGAAGTTTGCCATACAAGAAAGAGACTCTAAGTTTTTACTTACGTCAGGCTTGCCGCATTTTGTATTTTCTCACATTTCTTGGCTGCTGTTCACGAAACCACCCCAATCAAATGAAAAGTGCATAGGGTGTCAGGCTTATTAAGTGCTCTACCATTTCTGCTTAGAGTCAGAGAGCAAGGTTTTCACAGGAAGGAGGGGCATGAGTAAATTAATAGGCTCCCCACTGAGTGGGCAATTACCAAAGAGACAGACGTGCAAAATGCGGAAAATGGGAAAAACAACAACAAAGACTTTATAGTATTTCCTCGTATAAACTGCCAAACCTCAGTGAAAGTGTTACTTTCACCTGTCAGGTTTTACCTGCCGGGTTCAATCATATATGGTTGTTAAGTTTGAGTTCTATGATACACCTTCTGGTGCAACCTGGACACATCATCAGTGACGATCCTGGGGTCATGGGGTGAATGGGTCTTATCATCAGAAACCCTCACCTGGGCGACCCAGCCAGGGGTGATCAAGCTTGGCTTGTGTCCAGGTAGCGCACTATGCCATGCATTGTCCCTCTTAATCCAGAGCCAACGGAAAGCCCTTTCAGCAGCTTCCAAGCTGTTTTTGATGGCTCTACGTTTTTGAAGTCCGCAGACCCCCACGAGTCCCAGGACCCAGTGTAGGGATTGCCCTGCGAAGCCCCTGCAGCCAACTTCGACTTGCTAACAGCGGGCCTTCCACCCATTCCTCTGACACTGAACTACCAGAGATGCATATCTGGCTCTCCTCCTCTCCTGTGCCTCCTCCATCCGATCTCCCAGGGGTAACATAACTCTAGGAACACCACCTGCTTGGTTGCTTCAGACATCAAAACCATGTCTGGCCTGAGTGCGGTGGCTGGGATGGTGTCCAGGAATTTCAGTTGTTTCCCAAGATCATAGGAGCTGCCAGTCTCTTGCTGTTGAGAGCAGCCCACCCTGGGTCTTTGGTTGGGGCCGAGGTTTCTCCCCAGCACACACAAAAACAATGGAGCACTTTGCTGGGAGTTGCCACTTGCTGGAGCTTATGCCAGTGCAGCTGGTGTTCGCTACTGCCATGAGAGAACTTGGCCATGGCACCAACGATTCCTCCCCTCTCCCAAGGACTTAGGGCAGCAGCTCAGTATGTGCTCTAATGATCCCCTCTCCTGGCAGAGTTTGCAAGTGGGTGAGTCCACCAGGCCCCAGGTGAACAGGTTCAAGGGGCTTGGGAGGAAGTTGTACACTGACTGGACCAAGAATTAAATTGGTGTGGTCCGCCTTCTGCCCAAGTGATTTTTCGGTCAGTTGTATGCTCCCACTTGGTCCAGGCCCCCTGCTTGCCCATGCCCACCATTCTGCTGAGGCGAACTTCCTCCACCTCTGCACATACCCCCTCCTGGATTAGCTTTCACCTCTCCTTTCCTCTGGCTTTACCGTAGCAAGGTGTAGAATTTCTCCCAAGCCTGACCTGCCCAGTTGCCACCGTGCCCACCAGGGTGTTGTGCCCCAGCCCTGCCTTAGCTGGACTGCCTCCTGGGCGCGCCACCTACTTCCTGGTCTGACCTCAACACCTGCTGAAGAGACCTTAGTCACAGCTGACTCTCGATAGAGCATGACTTCTCTGGCTCTGGATACCATGAACTCCTCTGCCAGACTGCTGAAAGGAAGCTGCAGCTTGGTGTTGTGCTCGTAAAGGATGATGCTGCTAAGGCTCCGCGACAGGCCCAGCCACCTGCGTAGTCTTGTCTTTCCTTGTAGGCTTGTCTTCCTCTCAAATCTCTCCACGGTGGTGATTGGAACTTCGTAGATCAGCAGTGGCTAGAGGAGTCGGGGCAGGATGCCATGTTGATATATCCAGGCCTTGAATTTTCTGGGAAGCCCTGACCAATCCATGGTGGAAAGCCATTTATCGCAGTCCTCACTGCTAGCCTAGCGTGCTGCTGTGTCCTTTATGTCACTAGTGAAGAGCTTACAAAAGCTCTTGACTGGCTTTTCTGTTACTGATTGAATTTTGGTGCCTCCCAGAGAGAAGAGGAAATGAAGCCAGTAAGTAGCTCTTGGTAGACGGACAGACAGACGGAATAATATACTTTGCTAACATCTGAGGTTCTCCAAGAGTGGATCAGCTTTAGCCTCGGACAGCAGTCTGAGAACATTTGGTTGTAGAGACCCCGCCTAAAGGTGTTTTTGTTTCTTGATGCACAAAATAATATTATTAATCCAGTGCAATAGCTCTCTATATATCAACAGCTTTTCAGTAGAGAGTTGCATTGGTGTATATCCATTAATAAACAAAATGTACTGGACTATATAAGCTGTTGAAAATGTACTGTATGTCCGAAATTCTCTTCATATTAGTGTTTCTCACTGGTCAAGCTTGATAAAACACAAAAGATTTTGAAGCTGTGCTATTTCTGTAAGATGTGGTTTTGCTTGATTTTATATTATAAACATGGCAAGAGCAGTGTCAGAGTCTGTGTAACACACAGGGAGAATGATAGAGAGATGGAGAGTAACACAGGATGATGCAATTTAAAAAAAAATCATAATCCTAACCTTTTTGTTTGCAGAAAAAGCCAACTGAGCATTATATGGCATATTTTTTGTTGCCTTGTAGATTCCCAGTACAACCACAGTGTAACCCCTCAGCAAATCTACTGGACCCACTCAAAGTTGAATTAATGCATGCATGTTGTATGGCCCAGCATTGTTAAAAGCCACAAAAATTCTCAAGATTTCACTGTTTCCAGTGATACCAAATGTGTCTGGCTCAAATACAGGGAAAATGTGTATGTATAAAGTGATATACATGAAAACCAAAACTGCAAACATTTGGGATGATAAAACTTTTATTGTATGTTACTGTACTGTACTACATGGGAACCAGCCAACATTTTGTTTAAAAAGATAAAAACTGAAACAGTTTTCTTAAACTATTATCTGGCACATACACTGATTTGGCTAATCCAGTATGAAACATTTAAATCAGTTTACGTTTACAATTACGTGAAAAATGACTAGGAGATGAGGAAAAATTTATATAAACTTAAGGCTTGTAGCATTTCTTTTCTTTTTCCCTACTTTCCCTGCAAAAAGTATTTGAAAATGTGCACTTTATGTTATTTGAAAGTATACGGTTATGTGTTATTGAAAGATGTCTTTCTATATTTTATAGTGGAGTCTTGAGGGATGTAGGACTGCCCAATATTTGACATAACAGATAATATAAACTAACTGCATAAAAGAATCTGGAAAATTTCCATTTCACTTGATGATAAAAATCATGGTATAAGGTTTAATGATTTAACTCAATGCAAGTAATGTAAGTATTGATTAGCTTCAATGAAGTAGTGGAACGAGCAGCTACAGTACATTATATATATATATATATATATATATATATATATACATACAAATGTAACCAAAAATAATAATTAAGGAAAAAGATTTAAGGGGAAATCAGGATATAGCAGAGGTCAATGAGGGAAGTGAGAGTCCCACCCTGCATTTCTCAGTTGTTTAAAAGCTTATCACTATGTGTGTGTTACCTGTCAGAGTGCTCCTTGACCACTTGGTAGACTTTGAGTAAGAAAGTGTCATTGTGGAAGGTGTGGCTCACACACTCCTTGTAGAGACGAAACTCAGCTGCAGTGACGGCCTCACCCTTGGGGATCTGTGAGAGGTTGAACTTAAACTCCTTGTGGTGACGCTGCTGTGGAAAGAGCTCGCTGTCGTACTCCACTGTGGCATGGAAACACACACAAACAAATAGCGTCACAACATTATCCACAAAAAGAAAGAGACAGGGAAAGATAATACAGAGAGACAAGTGAAAAAATTGTTATTTACTGTCTTAATCAAGTGGAATGCTTTTCTACTCCTTACTGTTCCTCAAAAGAAACCATCATTGGGTTGGATTTGAATTTGCACTGCAAATTAATTAAATTTAACTTACCTTTTTTGAGCTTTATAATGCTTTTTTGTCTCACATTCATAATGTATTTTCTAATGAAACCACATATTTATGACCAGGGTTTCAGTGTAAATATACAGTAGTGATTGATGAGTGGATGACCTTTTCACAGAAACTGCATTGAGGTCAACCATAGAAGCTTCTAAAGGGTAATTTGACATGGGGTTGTGTGAGGTACTCATGAATAGTCGGTACATTACCCACAGTAGATTCTGTTCAGTGCGCTCCCAGTTAGGAAAGCTGACTGGCAGCACCTGGCAGAGTGGCAGAGCTATGTGACAGGAGGCTGTCCGTGAACCATCTTGGAGTCTTTCTCCTTCCTACCTGCAGGCCTGAAGCCCCCATAGCCACGTGTTTGTTTAGAAAGTGGCAGGTGAATTAACCAATCACATTTGATTTATCGTGAGTGAGACCAAACATCATTACCGTAGGCCTTTCTGAAGACTGAAGGCCAGAGGTACAGTGGCAAGACAAAGTAAGTAAACCCTTTGGAATTACCTCCATTTATGTATAAATTTGTCCTTAAATATGGTCAGATCATCCATGTTACAATTATGAACAAGCACAATCTATTTTAAATAATAACATACAAATCATCATTCTTGTGCATCTGCTGATGTTAACTGATTGTGAGGCCTCACAAAAAAAGAGATAGACTTATGATCAAGAATTGTTGAAAGAGTTTAGATCTTCATCAGTCCACAGTCAGACCATCTGTCTATAAATGGAGATAGTTCTTTTTCTCCCTAGAAGTGGAGGTCCAGCTAAGATGACTCCAAAAGCTCAACACAAATGATTAGTAATGTTAACAAAGAAGTTCAGAGTAAGAGCTAAAGACTTAAAGGAATCGTTGGAGGTGGTTCACATCTCTGTTCATGAATCTACCACACACACATCGTGGTGCAGGTTCGATGGTGCATGGTGTCCTGCCATGGACACCGCAGAGGAAGCTGTAGCTCTCCAAAAAAAACATTGTTGCACCCCTAAAGTTTGTCAAAGAGCACCTTTACACTCCACAGTGATACTGGGAAAAAGTTTTATGGACTGATAAAACTAAGGCTGAATTGTTTGGGAATGTGTGTGGTGTAAAGGGTACTGCATACTACATCCCAACATCATCATCCAAAACGTGAAGTAGGGTGGAGGGAGCATCATGAATTGGGGCTGATTTGCTTCCTCTGGACATGGACAGATCCACATCATCGAGGGGAAAATTAATTCTCAAGTTTATCCAGGGGAGGAATATGAAACCAATATTTTTACTTTATTTTAACAGATATTACAGCCCAAACCTGAGGTAACAAGAATTTAATTTTGTACCTGAGCCAGGCTTGTTAAAACCTTCTGGTCATTTTATGATGTGGGGACCAACCCAAAACGGAAAATTTCAGAGGTGCATAAATGCTGAACCTAATTAACAAACTGAGCTCAGAAGGCAGGGAGGGAGGAAATGAAATTCTGGCTTCCATACACTTCTAAGTGAAGGATCTCAGTTCTCAGCCAGTTCTGTCTCTCCGTTCTTCAAACACTTTCCACTGAAGCAAAGGAAACCTCTAGAGAATGAAACATCAGCATCACTGGTGACTTCTATCAGATGTGACAGTGACTTTTTCATCATCTTTCTCCACAAGCTGCCAACACACACACAAGCATAGACACAGATGTCACAGTAACTGTGTGTGATATCGGGTCTGGTCTTGTGTTGAAGGGTAGATCAGCCAAGCTCCTGTGAGTGTGTGTGTGGAGGCCCTCAGCATAGGTCAAGGTATTCTCAATGTCTTTACAACATGCCCTTCAACACCCCTGGGCTTAAAGACCAACAGCTATTTAGGAATCTACAGACAGAGGCAAAAAACTGATAAACTTGCAGTAGGCGGTGACAAAGTCAGGAGGAGTTCCACCCAGGTTGCTGTGCATTCGGAAAGTATTTAGATCCCTTTCAAATTTGTTATACTTCAGCTTTAAAAAAATATATATATATATTTCTCTCATCAACCTACACTCAATACCCCATTATGACAAAGTAATAATAGGAAAAACCGAATTACCATACTTGAAATTTAGCTCAGGTGCATCCCACTTCATCATCTTTGAGATGTATCTACACTTTGATTGGACTGCACCTATGTTAAATTCAATTTATTAATTTATTTTCATATAAGAACAACCTATGAGGTTGAAGGAACTGCTTGCAGAGCTTAGAGACAGGAGGCACAAATCTGGTGATGGCTACAAAAATCTCTGTTCTATGAATTGTCAGCTGTGAGACCTTATATTGGTTAGTGCCTTTCCAAATCATGTCCACTGAATTGAATTTACCACACTGCAATTAAATTATAGAAACATGTCAAACATGATCAACACTTGAGGCAGACACATGAGCTACATTTCAATAGAAAAGGATCTGAATATTTAAGTCAATTAGTCAGTTTTTCCTTTTTAATAAATTTGCAAAAATTCTGTTTTCCCTTTTTTATTATGTGGTATTGAGTGTAGATTGGTGATTTATTTTTGATTTTTGCATATGGCTGCAACATAACAAAATGTGAAAAAAAAATTGAAGGGGTCTGAACACTTTCTGACTGCAGTGTATGTTGAATATACAAATTATCCCCCCTTTGCTTTATAGATAAATGTCAATTAAGCTTAAATTACAAGTTTTGTTGCATATTCGTAGTAGTGCTTTAAAAAATGTGAAACTACTGTACATATGGTGTATGGTGTAACATACACACATGTAACAGTGTTCATGTTCAATTCAATTAATTGTATAGTGTTAATATTTATTGACTGCCAACAAAAGTTTACAACACATTTTATGCCAGGTTTACTGATATTTAGCCAAGTAGGAGATACTTCCCGAAATTCCCAAAAGCTCTGACTCAACCAAGGCTGACATTGAAAGTTTTTCTTCCTCACTAGGCTGCTCATTAGGCTACTGTCTGTATAATATTATATAAATGCAGCCAGTGCATTCTCTGATTTCTTTACAGCCATTTTTTAAACTTTGTGTCGTCTTGGACTGTCACTCACACATACATGATCTGGGAGTTGTCCAGTATACCCACAGTCTTCCAGTAACCAGCTCGTATGAAGCAGCAAGGTTGTTAACAGCTTGGCCCTAGAATTCAACTGGAAAAGTCTTATACTTTGCATTGCCTGAAAAATGTTGCAAAATTTAATAAAATCATACAAGAGGAATGAAAAAGATTCTGGCTAAAGGGAAAAACTAGACAGAAACACTTGAAACGTAAAAAATAATCATTTCATTAAGTTAACAAAGCATAACGCAAGTGTCTTTGCGACCTGCATAACATCCAATAAACTAATCACAGTGCCTTCTCCAATTCCTTTTAAAAGCTAAGGGGGCTTGCACCTTGGCGTATTGCTATTATAACACTGCAGTGTTTCAGTCAGTTGATTATATATTGTGACTCAACAGTGAGTGCAGTCCTGGCACAGGCACACAGAACTGCGCCGAACCATGCACTTAATAATCAGTCTGTTCAAGTTCAAATGAATCATTTTTTTCTAATATCAGAGAAGGGAGTAATTTTGAGCAATGAAGACAAACAAAACTATGAAATATGAAGACAGCTATTCATATTCATATACGTATCATATCTAAGGATTTGGATTTTAATGATTCAGGGAGGAATTCATTCAAAGTGATTCTACAGGTGGGAAATAAGTGATTTTGATGTGGTGCAAACAGTGCGCAATGGAAACTGTGGGAAAAGGGTGTGTGTTATATGTGTGTGAATACTGCAGGTTTAATTTGTGACTCTGTTTTATTACCACAATCCCACATCGTTTTTCACCATTTCATGAGGAAATACACAAAAACATGATAAAACAGAACGGCTCTCAGTAGAGCACATAACCCCTGCCAAGGCCAAACAGTCCTACACAGCTGACACATTTTAACTTCATCAAAATTGTACATTGTATCGCCTGCGATTTGGATATTACTACCATCACCTCATCAATTCCAGTAGCTGCTGCAGTATTTAAGACCGGTTCATCTCTCCAGTCTTCACCAGATCACTGAAGATACAGCCAAATTCCTTGGTTTTTGGCCATGCTCCATGAACCCTGTCTTTGCCCGTGCCTCAGGTTTATTCCAGCTGCCTGCTACATCCAGCTTTGTTCTCCTTGTCTTGCAAGTTTGAATTGCTGTCTGCCTGATCTCCTCTCCCATCTCCTGTCTGCCTGACCTGTCCTGTCTCATCATCTCCATACTCCACCACTCCAACCACCCAGTCCTTGCCATTCTTTCCTGCTAGGGCTATCTCCAGTCTGCCAGGCCCGCCTGTTTTTTGGGTCCAAAATTGAACTGACAAACAGATACAGGTAAAATCAGAACCTCCTTGGCGGAGGTAATCACAAAGTCAATTTTCATTTAAACAGTCCACTATTTACACTTTCATTCTCAATCCCTTGAACACATATACAAACACACAGAGGCAGCCAAAGTTAACCAGAAAACCTGACAATAGTGGGGAAATTCTCTGATGATCTAAGAAGAAGCAGACAGATACAAGACTCAGAAAGAGAAAGAAAAGGAAGGCAGTGAGTAAGGAGAGGGGAGTAAATGTTTGTTCTTGTGAAAGAATAAATTCTGTTGCTTTGGACTCTGACCATCTCCAGTGACTTCTTTTTGTAATCTTTTTTGACTCCAGTAAAAGTGCATTTTTTGTTGAAAGTTAAGTGTTGGTGAAGAGGTCTAGACTTAGACTCTGGCCCGGACCTGGACTTTTTCCTCCAA